CCCACGTATGTATTAATATTTGATACTGTCAATAAACGATGGCGGCGCCGCGGAAGCAATGCGAAAGCAGATCCCGCGGCGTCGTCGGTTAAAACGGGGGGGGGGAAGTAGGTATGAGCATAAATAATTTATGCAGCTGCGTGCCCAGGCAGGAAGTTAGGGGTTATAGGTATCCTCTCCATTGACCAATAAATCCCTTTATTTGTTTCTTTGGTACTACCCCCAAATTGCATTTAAATATATTATTATTACTCATGACCTCCTCCCTCCATTGAAATGTCCTGGGCACGTCACTGTTGTTTTAATTGTTGTTTTTGTGGAGTGAGAAGGTACTAAGTAAAATACTGAATAGCATTGTATGAATAAGCCCTCCTTGAGATTACCTAGCCGTAAGCACAAATCTGCACAATATATCATCTCAATACCCTAAACAGTTATACCTCAATACCTTATAACTTAAGTTTAAAGTGTAAGGTTTATGCATAAATAAAAAATGCAATTCAAATGTTTTTCCATGCATTAATTATTATTAATATATTAAATTTTTCATTGTCAATTATTATACATTATTTTCTAAGTTTCTAACCTAAATTGTTATTACAATATTTTTATACTGTACTACTGCAGCGTCATGGCATGCATCGTGCGGGATCCATGTACTTGCTAGCATCATTATTATATTATAATTAATTCCTTTTTTCTTTTACATGTACAATATCGTATGTTTGTGTGTCGCGAGGGATAAGAGATAAAACACAAGCCTACATAAATTGTTTATTTGATCATGTCTTAACACTTTACAAAAATCTCACAAATGACGTAAAAATAACTAAAAAAAGTACAGATATATACCTTGAAGACTGAAGTTAAATAATAAGTCAATTCACTCTAATAGTCTAATATTAAATCCRACCCTTCAAAAATTGGTTCTACTGAACATAAAATTACTATGTATAGTATCTATGTTTTTAAAAATAAGATATCACAATTATATCAATCATTTCGAGTAAAATTTACAAATGAGACAATTAAACCAATATTAAAAATAATAATACCTAAACGAGTCTATTATTATTTAATATATTTATACTAAAGTCTATAGTTTATTTTGTTTGTTAGTCGTTACCTAGGAACAGCAATGTTTATTTATTGACTATAATATTATAGATTATATTATAATATATTTTATTTTGTTATTGTTACATCATATTTACTTATTGTACATTGTGTATAGATAAATTTTCAATAAACTTCAAATAAAAAAAAGATTATAGATAATTATATTTATATATCTATCATTGCATTTGAAATATTATGGAGAGTATAAAAACATGTTTTGTGGAGAATGTGAAGTCTGTTGGAGGCAAGSTCAAAAAACCAATGAATCAAATATATGAATCAAATGTTCATACAATTTCTAGTRAGACTTTGGACAAAAAGGCAAGTTACATCATAGTAAAAGAAAGTACAAACATTTATATTGTTAAAAATTAAATTATAAACTGTTTATTATCTAGAATGAGATGACCGTCCA